GCCAACAACACGTCAATCTTTGTGAAACCCCAACTTTTCCGCCTTTTTCTCGAAGGAGTCAGGCAGCGTTAGACATCAAAGCAGCCTTCAGCTGCCAAAGATCGATTGAGCATCAGAAGTCTAGTGCAGCCTCCCATCTCAAGCACTGAACCGAACCGAAACACCTAGCACAGTCCGCTTTCACCCAATTGCGACTGATGTGAATGACATCCCTGTGCTGTGCTACTTATCTAGACATAGCCATGTCTTCACTCGATCCCAATGGCCTATGACCACTGGAATCCTCCGGGAATCTGAGAGAACTTGGCATGACGATCCGGACCCGAAAGCTGCCCCGGCGTCGGCCAACGCTCAGCGTCTCCGGCGACGGGACCTCGAGCGCGACCTTTCCCGTTCCCGCTCCGGCCTGGCTGAGGCTACGAAAACCGTGCAACGTTGCATGCTGTTGCACTTTCCTCAAAAAGAGGAGGGCTGTGCCCGTTCGACGTCAACTGCTGGCAAGGGGCTGATATGTCATATTTGCGGAGGTCGCTGCATTCCGCGGCATATGCGGCAGGTCCTCCGCAAAAGTCCACTGCTGCGACATGCGCAATTACAAGTTTATGAAGTGACGGCACCATAAACTGCGCGTCCTCGGTGTAGTTGCGGTTGAGCAATAGGGCGCGCGAGCCCGACAGACCCTGAAGGTGCACGTGCATGATCGTGCATGTAAACTCTTGAAACATTCTTCGATCGATTTCGGCCATGTTCTCGTCAGCAAACCGGGCCGCACTGTCGAGACACCCCTTGCAGGTTGGAAGGCAGGCACAAAGTGAGTCGTACACCCAAGCAACCTAACGACAGCAACAGCATGCAACCCATCGCGCAGAGCCAGGCGGATCGAGAGGCAGGTGGACATTTTTCTCAGTTGAGAATACGAAAGCGCCGCAACCAGAAGGGGCATGCTGCTGTTTGCCAAGAGGCGTTGGGTGTTTCAAAGAGACATTGGGCGCATGCTCGAGGAAGTACAGAAAACGTTGCTTGCGCGGAACTTTGGGTGCGCTGATCTATAACGACAGGCACCACATACTGGCAAGCTGCCACTTGCCAAAGACCCACGAGCATAGGCACAACAACCTTTGTTTTATCTATCTGTTTATCTATCTATCTAGCTATCCATCGGCCCACCTACCGATATCATGTATCTCTCTATCTACCTATCTAGACGTGCCTCGTGAGCATTTGGCTGATAGTTTACGTGCAGGCGCCAGTGCCCGAATAGTAACATGCAGAATACTAGATTGCATGCAAGCTAAGACACCCACAACAGACCGGCAGACAGCATGTAGGAACTAGAACAGCAGCCATGCTGGGGTCGTGGCGGATCCACCACTTCTCCAGGAGCCGTCGCGATCCCTGCCCTTCCTGCACACATCAGCAGAGCCGACATCTGTTGTTTGAGCGTCTCGGCAAACCTTTCAAATTGCTTTTTGCCTGAGTGGGCACAGTGCAGGGCTCTTGAGAGCGAGAAGAAGAAGAAGAAGAGCATCCATGGGTACGGCAATAAGAACATCCGCAGCTGGCTGTTGCCATGCTCTCTTCAACGTGCCTCGTCTTCTGCTCGCGGGCCCGCCTGGCAGGAACCGGCTGTTGCTGATAGGAATAACACAGAAGAAAAGGACTGCTATGATGTCGGAAGGAAAGCAACCGAGATCAGCAATCATAGTGCAACTTACCTGACACATCCTGGCAAAAAATGCGACAGCCCATCGTAGTGGCTGCAAGGTGGCTGCTAGGGTCATCTCATGTCGGTGCTCCATATCTTGGCAGGCGGACCGGCTATGCCAAATTTCAGCACTGCCTTCGAGCTGTTCGGGAGGAGATGGACCGCGAGCCAATGGACCGGCCACCTGAGACCTGGGCGCAGACAGAAACGGAGGCAGATGTGGAGCTCGAAGAGACAGCGACGGACTTCCCTAGCTTAGACCCCGACAGAGCGTCCGCGATTAGCGTCCGCCTCAGCGCAACAGCCCTTCCTTCACTTCTCAGCCACTCACAACATCAGCTTATGCAACAACGATGACAGCACGCGAAGGATCGCACCTTGGAGAAAATGGGCGGTGCCGCATCGGACAGGCCGGGCACCTTCGTCAAGAATGCCTTGCCTAAGGCATTTCGTCTACTGTCGGGACCCACACTGTGATTGGACGCAATCCGACATGAAGCCTCTCGATTCCGCTTAGCGCTGCCTTGAAACATGACTGCCTCAGAGACCCTTCGGCCATGCGGGCAGGCTGATGCCGACAGGCGGCCAAGGCTCCGAGAATGTTGTCTGCCTGTCCGTTTCTGACTGGACACTCAAGGGGTTGCATTCGGCCCCTTTCACCGAAGCCGAAGCCCTACAGCCGCCCCAGAAAAAAGACAGGCACGAAACTCCACACAGAGCCGAGCCTCCTCCTCGAGTTTCCGCCGCCGTGCCTCGTCCTCGCGATTCTCCGCCTCGATGTTGGAGGCTTCGGGTTTAGGATTTTGGGGTTTAGGGCTCAGGGCGTGTAGACAGTGTGCTCACGGAATGGGGGGGTGCACCCCCTTGTCACGCGCTTACAGCACGTAGTCCCGCTGCAACCACCCGATTTAGGGTTCAGGGCTCACCTGCTGTCTGAGGCCCTGTGTAGCCCTGAATCCTGCTGGCACAAAATCCATGCAAAATCCTTCATCGAAGAACTTGGCTAGCTTGGAACAACCCCCGACAGGAAGAAGCCTCAAACCCCCAAGCCCAGTCTAATCTGCGAAGCCCCACAACCCACACCTCTAGACCCCGCCCTTTCATGCCCGGATCCTAGACCCTGAAACCCTGGAACCCGAAAGCCCCTTTAGTAAGACCCCGAAATAATAGGATCCGAATTTCAACGCAGCCCTACATAAGGTACCCTAAGTCTGCAAGCCCCCTGCCCCTAAACCCTAAACCCCAAACTGCGACACAAACCCTAAACCCTGAACCCCAAACCCTAAACCCTGAACCCCAAACCCTAAACCCTAAACCCTGAACCCCAAACCCTGAACCCCTAAACTCATGCTCTCGGCTGCTGGCCGGCGGAGGCCTCGGGGCCTCGACGACCGGCCCAGGGGGCCTCGGACAAAACGTCCGGTCCCTCGGGTTTTGGGGGGGCTGCCAGCCTTTGGGGCTTCGGGGTTTCGAGGGCGTAGAAATTTAGAGAGTGGTTGAGGGGTTTAAGGTCTCAGGAGTTGGGGGGTTGGCCATGAAGGCTGTCAGGTACATAGCGATAAGAATGATGAAAGCATCAAACCACTTCTGCAAGCTGAGCATTCTGCGGGGGCTTCTCTTTTGGCGGCTTCTCTTTTCTGCTGGCCTTGCAACAGATCACGAAAATGTCTAGTCTTTCTTCTCAAACTGCATAACTGCCGGACGAGATACTACCTTGTTGTCGGCATCTCTCAGCGTGATTTCTGGAATCGTGGCCTCAGGACAGAGCCGAATGTCAAGCTTCATTATGTCGTCACACCCATGGGAGCAGTGCTACCGAGTTCCCGACTGTGGCTGGCGCCTCCTCGCGTGGCGCACGCTTTGGGCGCCGAGGTGCCTCCTCAGAGCTGCCAAGGTTCAATAGCTCTCTGGCATGTCGGTTGCCAGGTGTGGTGGCCAATGAAAATCGCATGATATGTCATGATATGACAAGCTGACAGGACTCGGCCGGCACTCGTGCAGTCTCGTGATTGAAGCAGACCGACCCCGATCGCCACTCCTCCTCCTCCTCTGCCTCCTCGTCCTCTTGCACGGCGAGGTGCATCTTGGGGCACAGCGGCCAACGAGAGCGACTGCACATGCATGCCGAAGGCTCCGACTGGAACGGGGCTCTCAGTGGAGTTCAAGTACCGCCTCGGCCCGGCTTCTGCGTGAACGGACCATAACGGACCTACCTTCACTCGTCTTGCTTTACACAGAAGCTGCAATTCACAGCCAATCGGCCATCGACCAAGACTTGTACTTCAATCACGCACCGCCGGTGTCTGTCACACAGTGAAGGAGGGGCAGGTGAGGCTCCTGGGCGTCACACTGCTGCTTGTCGGAGAAGATGGAAAAGCCTTGATGGCGGACAGGTGACACCAGGACCCTCCCTGCACGAAGAGCATGCGCTGTCTGAGGATTGTGGCTGTCACGGATGATGCTGGCCAACTTGCGACCGACCCGGTCGGGCCTCGGGCAATCGAGCACTGAGGCACCGGCCCGCCACGGCTCGAGGCCTCGAGGCTCGGCGATGCTCAGGTCCAGGCAAGCCTCCGGAGAACTTGCCTCGTGGTGGAGAACACTGAAGGATGACCAGACTTCCGCTACCACACCGAAGGGAACCCTTTTTCTGCGAAGCCACGGTTTGTGACGATGTCATAAAGGTCCGTCGGCTTGGCCTTGCCCTGCTCCACCATTGCACAGGCCTCGGCCCCGACTGAAGTCTCGAGGTACGGAGACACTCGAGCCGCCGGCCTTGCTGAGCCATTTGGTCCTGGCTTCAGGCTTCAAGGTGATCGCGGTCTTCAGGTCGACAACAACCTGCCGTGCTCCGGCCCGGATCAACTATCCCATGGACCTTGCACGATATCGCTCGCATCTTTCGCGCCTCGTCCGTGGTGGGTTCGGGCGCTTTTGGCTTCTTCTCGGCTCGGCGCCGCGATACAACCTTTCCCCGCGACGCTCAGAAAGACCCGGCAAAAGGGCGAGTGAACGCAGGCCGGGCCTCGGCGGGTAGCCGCCGGTGCATGGGGTTCGCATCACTGGCATCCCAAATCATCTCGACCGTCCTGGCCCCGCGAAGCTGCAGCCGCAGAGCACCGAGCATAGCAAAAGAAGTTTAACAGAGCCCACTCAAAAGGCCATTGGCTTGAGAAGCTACTCCGGGAGTGCCACCTCCACCGCCTTTTCGGCAGTCAAAGATCTCCTGCAGAGCGAATGAAGAATGCTCTCCAGGGCTCGTGCTAGCCGGCTGCGTTAGTGTCTGGGGAGAGGTCTACCAATGTTTGCGGGAGTATTGACAGGCTCCGGCAAAGAAAACCCAACAAAACCATGGACAGTCAAACATGGGTCCTGACGGCACTGGCTTCCGCCGCACTGGATCATGCGAAAGCGGGAGTTGCCACTGAGAGATCAAGCAGAGACGGTCCAGTGTCGCTGAGTTGGCTTGCTGTAACTCGTTCGTCCTATCTTCAAAGGAATGGCAGGCGAGTCGGTGTTGATTGCTGCGGTGTCTGGTGTGTCTGTTGTCTTGCCGAGCATTCAATGCGACCCTAGCAGGCAGTTATGCACTGCAACATAGATGATCTCATCAGATACTGAGGTATGGCTTCTGGTGTATAAAGGGGATTTGAACCTGGAGTGCATCTTGAGATTTGGCGGCAGCATTGCGTGAAGCCTGTTAGACTCCTACCATACGGCTTCAGAACCTGCAGCTGCGAGGGCAGTACCGAGGGACAGCTTCACAACCTCATCCGCAAACAAAATCATGCATTACCGACCAAGCGAGTCTGTCTTCTTCGCACTGCTCGACGTCCCACATTTTTTTGCCCGCAGGGTTTTGGCCGGACTGGAGCGCGTCGGATAACACAGGCATCCCACAAAGGACTGTTCTCGTGACATGCAGAGAGCAAGCTGCTTTGGAGTTGTGAGTCCTTTGCTGGGAGAGCCGGCAAGCTACGAAATGTCCATGTCATCGGCCTGCACCTTGCGCATCATGAAGTAGATGCTGTCGTTCAGATGGAAGTCCTGGCTGTAGCTTTGTGCACCACACCCCCAGAAACACACAACAAACTCTCACTACGTTTTCCGTCGACTCCTGAGCTTCTTGCTTTCAGCAACCTCCCTACTTACGTCACAGATGCTTCCAGATGCACACTACGCATGAGCACTGCGTGAGCTGGCATGGGCGCACCGCAAGCTGAGCAGCCTCCGCTCGAAGCCTCAGCGAAGTTTCGGATTCGGGGTAAGGGTTGAGATTTTCTAAAGCGGGTGTTTTTCGGGTTTAGATGTGTGGGCGGTGGGTTTGTTTGGGAGGAGGACTCATGTCAAGTAGGGTTCAGGGTGTGCGGCTTCGAGGATTGTAAGGTCATGCGTGACTCACAAAGCCGCCGAGCGTGCAGCCCATCCGACACTGAGGGCATGACTTCATCAGCAGACCGCCGTAGGATGCCCACACCGTCTGGCATCAGTTGGCCGGAATAAAGAAATTACTCGGCGCCGAAATTTCATCGGCAAGGGGCCGCTAGGTTTTCTTCCTTCTTGACTTCCTTCTTGTAGACCTGCAAACAAGGCACACAAAACATTTGCAAAGCACTGCGGTAGGACATCCGGGCCTTGCCGTACATGACATAGTCAAAGTGGTCCATCACTGAGCGCCCGAGTAGCCGAGGATCGTGGTCGTACGCAGTACTGTCATCAACGGAGCAGTTGAAGTCTGCAGAACGCGCAAGCCATCTACGAACTGAACTCAGAGTGCCGACAGAGATGCCGCTTTGTGCTGGAAGCAAGGTTTCATGCAACGGCGACGCTGACGAAAAGCGATGGTCATGTGCGAAGGAGGCAGGAGGCCGTCAGACATGTTGACCCCAAGATGCAGCGATTGCACAGCCGCACAAGTCTGAGGGTTCGGTTTGATATGACTGCTGCGGATGTTTGGCAAGGTGCTCTTTCACCTTGTCCTCTGCACAGATGACCAAACTAAGCGGATCGGCTAGGAAACCCCAGCTGACAGATCAGGCTTCCACTTGCATCCATGTGCAAAGATTGCACATCACATCTCAAAGCTGGCAACAGAAATCTTATAAGACTGCGCATCTGCAACTGCAACGGAGCATGCTGACGATACAGTGTGGCTTGGCCTCCCCTCCATGCAAGACGCGGCCACGGGTGCACTCTCAAGTTCCACTGCTAACACCATGCACCGCGGTCCTGGCTAATCGCGCAATGTTGCCCATGGCAAAAAACCTGCTGCTCTTCAATGCACCTGCAAGACAGTGAGATCCTGTGATTGAGTTTAGATCTGGGATCTTCCGCAACTTTGCGGTTGCACTGCTCCGGGCTTCCTTTGAGCGGCAAGTGCGCCATGCTCAAGATCGGGGGTTAGCTGCAGACCGCCCGCAGACAGGTGGACCGCAGGTGAGGATTAGCAGCAGAACAAGTCATGCAGTGCGAAATTCACCCTGCAGGCGAGGGCACCTGCGGCAAGCATGCCCAGTGAGCACGTTAGCCCATCGTCTCACTGTCATCCACTCACTGAGGCCTCTGGGTTGGCCCCAAGCATGCTCAGATTCGTTGCCCACATCTTGCGCCCCACACCCGGCCAACGGTGTGAAGAGTGCAGTGAGGCTCTGCACTCTCTGGGTAGGGCGGGCGTAGCGTACCCAACGCATCTCAACATGCGCAACATGATCGGCTTCCTCAGCTAAAAAAGACTGTAACATGCATGTAAAACCATTCAAAAGCAATGCGCTATGAACCGCTCTCCACCGTAGGCAAGCTGGCAGGGTCCGCTTCAGCTTCCTGGGATCATCCGCAGGGCTCACGTTGCGGGTTATCGCAACGTAGATTTGGTCGCCACCCTGCACTGGGTAGATAATGTGGTTGATGTCCTGAGCTGCCAGCAGAGCAGTCTGGAAGCCACCGGTGTGCACGACTGCAGCACAGGCACAACTACTTTGCGAGCGTACTTCACCACAAAAATCAAGCACAGCTCTCCTAAGGGGCGGACTATTTCGAGATTGTTAGTGGTGAAGGCGACGGACTCACAGTCCATCCGTCCCGCCCGCTCGAATCGCGAGTCGTCCACATCTGAGCGCAAGCCAGATTCCCCTGTGCAAAACTCCCTGCTCAGTGCGTCGCTTCGCTCTCCAACACCCTCTTCGCTCACTTGGCTGAAATTGGCTGAACTCGGATGCTTGGGCAGCGGCTCTTCACCTGTCCACGCAACAAGCTCCAGACTCAAACAGGGGCCTGCAAAATCTAAGCTCCGTGGGGCCTGGAAAGAGTCTTCGAATAAGAACGGGTGAGCGTTCATGTCCTTCTTCTCCTTCGCCTGCAGTGGCAAGTCTTGGACTCAGCACATCTTTAGAGCCGCAGCAGCTAGCGAAAACGAGCCCAGCCCATAGGAAAATCGTTTGGGCCAGTCCCGGCCTGAGCCATGGCTGGAGCTGTCACATCGGCCCCGTCTACGTGTCGTTTGGTCTTTCCAGACTTTGCCGTGGTGTTGTCCTACACTTCGTTGATTTGGTACCAAGGTCCTGACTGTCGTGCCTTTATACTACCTTTGGTAGAGCTCTTCCGAAAGGAAGCTTTTTGGGCGACAAAAAGATTGTGTCGGTGGGCGATGGGCCTCAGACGTAGCAAGCACCTCGGATGTTTGTAGATATATCTTACACATGCAGCCAGAAGCCGTGGAGGTTTGCCACGGTTACATCTACCCGTCGGGCTATGACTTGTCCATGATGTGTCCGTTCGTAAACTGAGCAGAAAGACCCGGGCACGCTCAATCCAATCCCTGCGTAGATTCGCATGCCTCGGGCCTGAACAGATGAAGACCTCAGTTTGGGTTGCTGTGTGCTGTAGTACAAGGAACTTTTCGCCGCATCAAAGCTGAGCCTGTGTCAAGCTGCACTGCTGATGCGATGTGGTCTCTGATTCAGATTTTGTGAAACCGCCGCCATGGGCGAACCGCAAAGCATCACTGCGCTTTCTTGGCGTCTGTCGAAGGTGTGCCCAGTGCACTGCCTTGGGACACTGACAGACAGCGAACAGCTGAAAGAGTGAACTCCGACCACAGCTGCTTTGCAATTTCGTTGAAACACAACACTGTCTCCAGTGCTTCCGGAGAGACTGATGAGCGTCGTCAGCTTCGCTTCGTCGGCCCCTCATCTACTGTGCTTAAGGCTCAAGTTATGGGGGACCCACAGCCGGTGGCAAGACTGAAGTGTACATTGGCGACTGACAGAAGCAATCCGGGCCTGTGATGGATCCAGCCTGCTCGCCTGCCACGTAGACTTGGAAGGTGGGAAGGCCCATCACCTGGGAGAGAACCCACGGAGAAAATTCGCTTCATCTCTCTTGTCTTCTTTGCTTCCGATGGGGGGGCGGTTCGAGCGAGACAGATGAAAGTTTTTGTATCTTCAAAAGCTGAAGCAGCTGTGCACACGGCTGCGCAGCGGGTTACGACGTCTTCAAGCTCATCAGCATTGACCTGCGAGCATGTTCTCTGACTCGTTCTCGTGTAGCAATGCTGAATAGAACTAGAGACAGTGTGCACGTCAGCTGTTAGCTGCTATCCATAGCATATCTAATCTCATACATTGAAACATCCTGTGAAATGAAGTATGACCGCATACATCCGTGAAAAGTCTCTGCTAGGGCCTCCTACACGCACACACACACACACACACACTCCCGAAGCATCCTGCGCAGACACCGACAGAGACTCCAGTGCATCCTGGCCTCCAAGAACACATGGCGCGGGTAGCTGGCCGCCAGGGCCTTCAGGCTGCCAAGTGGGACGAGGGATTACAGCTCAGCCATTTTTGCTCCCCTCCGGTGCTGTATAAGACAGTTGTACAATTTTTATTTTGCACTGAATTACACTCTACTTCCTGCAAGGCCACCGCCACGCGCATCACCTGCCTGGAATTTGGGCTTGATTGCCTGCAGGGTGCCGTCGAGACAGGGACGGGTAACTTGCCAGCTCGATTTGCTCGACCATTGCGGCGTAGGCATATCATGCGACTCGGCCGTCCCATACAACCTAGCCCCACCTGACAGGGCTTGCACCAGGATGCAGTGAAGTCCAGGACGACGCCGAAGGACTCCTCCAGGCTCCGAAGACGAACACCCCAAGCCACCGGACGCCACCGGAATACAAGTCTCCGCGCTCTTCGGAGGCGTCCTCCTTCGAGCGCTGCAGCAGCGCCTGGAGCTGCTCCGCAGATGCCAGGTGACCCACCTGCCACTATCTCATAAGCCGACAGCATCAAAACATCAGATTCTGCATGGGCGATCCGCCTGATGGGAATATTTTCATATCATTTCTATGGTGGAAGACTGTTCATCTCTTCCACCGCTTTTTGGCACCGGTTTCCTTGTGGGCAAACTGTGCATGCACCAGTCAATTACAAAGTAGAGGTCGTATGCAGGACCGCCTGACACCCGTTCTCAGAATGATGGAAGGTGAGACAGGGCCACGGTTTTAGGGTTGAGGATTTCGGGTTTTGGACGTTGAGTTGAATGGCTCTAAATATTATTCCTGAGAGATGCTTGCTGCGATGATAGCATAGAGTTCACCTTTAAATTTTGGTTTGCGGAAGGTTTTAGTAGGGTTTAGGGTTCAGTGCGCAGGGTGTTTGGGGTTTTAGGGTTTTGGGGCTTGGGGGCTGAGGCTTAGGGTGTTAGGGCTCGGGGCTTCGTGTTTACATTGTAGGGCTTGGGGCTTGGCCTTCAGGCCTCCTAGAAGCCTGGTGATGCACACTTGAGGTTAGGGCTTGAGGTTGGGGGTATTGACGGCTTCGTGGTGCGGATTGGGGATGAAGCAAGAGGTTTTTTGTTTGTCTGTCGTAGACATGTGCATCAAGGCAAGGTTTCATGTTCGTACGGTATGCTTGGAGGAGCAAGTGGATATGCAGTCGGGTAGATCGCTTTCGCGCCATGCGGCTTTGTACTGCACTCTTGAATAGCCACGAGCTGATGTGCTGCTCGTACAAAAAATGGCCGCAAGAAGGGGCCCCTCACCCTCAAAGCGATTGAATCGGCAGGCTGGGCTCTTGCTTCAGGCGCGAGGTAAGCGAAACCCAGGTTCAACCACGTTAACCCGAGCCGGGCACGATCACCCAAGGCCAAGCAATTCGAACCCGTCCAGCCCGAGTTTACCGCCCGACACTTCGACGCCGCAATCCCGCCGTGCCTCCCCTGATCGCACCGGCTCCGTCGAGCCATTCGAGCCATTTGCCTGGCCAGGGAAAGGAGGACGCAATGAGCCGCAGCAACCTGGCAAGGCCTTCGAGCTCTTCTTCTTCCCCAGAAAAGGAACCTGTCCGCAAGCTGTAACGAGGAAAGATCGTGGGAATCGCAGACTCTGGATCTCCCATTCTGCATACCTTCTCCATGTAGGGTGCCAGGAGCGCCCAGAGCTTGGCCGCCTGTCTCTCGATGGCCGCAGCCCAGTCCTGCAGAGCGGAGCAAGGAGTCGAACTACGCCGAAGCCCCAAGCCGCCCAGGCCCCTCTCTCCGCAGGGAGCATCGGCTTGGCAAACTTCCATACGAAGAAGACGACGGCAGGGATGCAGGTCCATGGGACGCAGACAGGCCCTTAGCAAAGCCCATGTTATAGCAGCGAGCATGGTGCACTCGCGGGCAAGGATTAAGACGTTGGGTCCCGCACCGATGCAAATGACCGGCATGGCGATAGATACTACGGCGCGGCAACACTATCACTACCGCTCCGACTTTTGCATCTTGCGTTGTGGGTCATGACGATGCTATGCGGCATCTTGGGCAGATGCTGAGATCCGCTGTGGCTGGCCGACTGAAGTGGTTGAGAACAAGGATTGTGAGTCCTAGGACTGATTCGTGACAGTTTCTGCCCGCTTTCGAAGGCTAAAATCGATGCTGTTAGAGGAACAACAGGCAGTTCACACTGATGCAGGCTGCTGCCAACATGCTAGCTGCGGGACTCCTATGCTGCCACATTGCAGAGAGGCTACACCTTTCTACCACGGGTCAAGATTCAGCTGCCTGGCTTGCAAAGCGCTTCTGGATACGCTCCTGTCGCATCCCATGAAGAAGATACGACTTGCAAGTCATAGACGAGGTGGTAAGCCAGAGCACCAGTAGTCATAGCTCATCTTGACAATCGTATCAGAGCCAGCAGCCACAGTTGCGGGTGTCCTCGTCCTCGTCCTCGTCCTCATCCTCGTCCTCCTCCTCCTGCTCCTCCTCCTGCTGCTCCTCCTCCTGCTCCGCGACTCCTCCTCCTGCTCCTGCTCCGCGACGTGGTTCCAGTCGTAATCGCATCGTCGTCGTCGTCGTCATCGTCGTCGTCGTCGTTGTCGTAGTC